GGTCTTGGCTCTCTTTTCACACAGTGACAGGGAGGTAAACAGATGGTTTTGATTGTCTAGGATATACATAAGTCACACACACACAAATACAACACAGTTATACCTATTTAAGCAGTGATGATGAGGTTCTACTGTATATTAAATAAGAATGAAATATATTGTGAGGTTATGCAGAAATAAATATCCTGCCAAAAAGTTACTAGGTGTGAAGATAATGGTGGTCAGACACGCTATAGCAAACGGCCATTATTAAGCACAGTATTAGAAGTCTAACGTCCATAAAGGACCTTTGCAATATCATACAAATGCCATCTTAAAGTTATTTAGAGAAGTTACCACTAAAGAGATTTCCTTTTCTTTTCATTTCCTTTCTTTTTTTTTTTTCTTTCTGAAAATTTCTGAAGAAAGAAGTGAAAGCAATGAATACTTCTTGTTTGTGCAAACCCAAGGCTTTTGGAAACACTTAAAACTTTAATCCCTGTCTTTTTTTTTGTATGCATCATCTCTTGTCAACAAAAACTTACTTAGATTTGCACAGCTAGACAAAAGATATCTAGCTACCCCATTTACCCAGGAAGTGGCAAGGAAAAGCCCAGCTATGGTTACTTGGAATCTAGTTCAGTAAAAACCCAATGAAGTTTTATTGATTTACTCCTTTCTCAAGCAGATTCAATTGGTAATGGGTAGCAAGGAAAAACGGATAACGAGCAAAAGGAAGGAAAATATTTCTAATGTTTCACAGAAAAGTTAAAGCAACTTTGAAGCAAAGTTCTTCTCTGAATGCTGCTTCTTCTTCAGTGGATTGCCAAGCCCAGTGGGGAAGAAGACAGACAGACTGCCTTGACCTTGCAAAGCAAACTAAAGAGTCATTGGTTTTTTCCATTCCTTTGCATCCAAAGCAAGTAACTCTATCCCCCACTTAAACAATTATTTTCTTCTTATCTTGATATCATAGATATTATTCACCTGATACATCGGTAATTACTGCACCTGTATAGCACTTCTAAAAGGTAATATAAAGTATAGTAGATATAAAGGAAAATAGAAACTCAGAAAAATATCTGAAAAGGCCTATGTCATACTAAACCACATAACTAATGGCCTCTCTGATTTGTTGGGAAAGATCAATTTAGAATGACATATCCATACTCTTAATATTGAACACAGTATAACTTAATCAGAATTTCCCCTCGTCACTTGTTACAGAAAATTCGAAATTTGGTTGATATTTTGGTGCTTTAGTTGGGTGATTTTTTTTTTTTTTTTTGACAGAGAGTCTCCCTCTGTTGCCTGGGCTAGAGTGCAGTGGGGTGATTTTAGCTCACTGCAACCTCAAACTCCTGAATTCAAGTGATCCTCCTGCCTCAGCCTCCCAAAGCACTGGGGTTAGAGGTGTAAGCCACTATACCTAGCCATAATTTTCTTTGTTTTTATAGGAAATGTCCTGCTAGGTTCTGAGCATTCTTCTAAACAGTCCATATTTTAAAGACTGTAATTATCATTTGAATTTCCTCTGAGACTAACCAAGAAACAATTTCAACATAGAAGAAGGCCAATTCAAAATAGTAGAGTTAAAAAAAAAAAATAGAGAAGTTAATGACAGTAAGCAGCCCTATCCTTTCCTTCTTAACTTTTAAGTTCTACTTAGAAGGCAAAAAACAATGTAAAATAAGAAGTTATTATCGTTATCCACCATCGAGCATTCATAGACTGCTCATTACTGAACTTAGAATTTATGGGAGGTTATGTGAGAAATATAAGATATCACCATTGATTTTAAAGAGTTTATAGTTAACTTGAGGGAGATAAAAGCAAAATTAAGGAATAATTGGACTCTGATTCACGAGGTCGTATTATCAGTACATTAGATGTTCAAAGGCCACTGGTGGAAGGAATATGTTTTAAATGGCTTTGTCAGAATAAGTCCTCCCGGAGAAGACAGGACTTTGAATCTGTCTTGAGAAAGGGAGGGATTTGGAAAGCAGAGAACAGGTTCGGGCTGGGTAATCTGCAGGTCTCCTGGACCTTTGATACAATTGTGGCCTCAAAGCCAGGGGTGGATACACTGAGGATTTCAACAGCTTGAAATCCGGTTGTTGGGCAATACAATTCAGTGGTTAACCAGACTGTGGAGGGCCGCTGGGGGGTATCTGTCAGGGACTGTGAACATAGCGGTTTGTAATCTGGAAACCATTAAAACTTTCATGGGGCAGATTCTCTTCTAACCCTGGAATTTCTACTACTTAACTCTTTCTCTGACCTTAGTTTGCCTAGCTGAAAAATGGGGGAAAGAATTTCTCTGATCTGCATCAAAGAATCAATTTAAAGCTCAAGAAATAATGAGCGTGAAAGTGTTTTGGAAGCTGCAGACCATTGGAATCTCTTTATTCCTATTATATTACTCTTTGCTATGATGACTAAAATGAGATTCCTTTTGATAGACAGTAAATCTTTCAGGCTATCAGGATGGCAATGCCGTTATCTGGATTGTTTTACTATAGTTGGGGACAAAGATAACACAGTTTTTCTCTACCACCTGGACACAGTGAGGGTAAGACAAATAGCTTATCTTTAAACTGCCAGGAAAGAAGCAATTACTTTTTAAGAGATCTGTCTCCAGTGGTTCTTGGTGGTATCATTCCCAACCTCAGGGGACCTTTGAGCCAGCCACACTCCTATCTGTCTTTGCACAAGGCCAACATCAGAGATGTCTAGACAGGAGCCAGACGTGAGCAGTGGGCCAGAGTGATTTCAATGTGAAGCCAGGTAAAGCGACACGCTGCTTCCTCATTAGCTCGGGCAACCCAACAGCCCGCTCAAGTGGGGACTGTCTATTACTGGCTTGTCAGCTGTAGAAATATTTTTTCTCCTTATGTCTGTAAAGAATCTGTGGTGAGTTGATTCAGAGTGCAAACCAGGCGATGCATGAGCAGCTACATTTGCATCTCTCAGACCATCAGGAGGAACTGGCAATCTTTTCTCAAGACCCTTCTCTGATCTTACCATTGGCTGCCAAAAATTAATTCATATTTTCACCTGTATTTAAAATACCTATTTGAAACTAACCCCCACACATAAATATGTACATACACTTTAAAATTCAAAAACCTATGCTAGTAAACTTTTTTTTAAGCAAAGTCCTATTGTACTGCGGCTTATTCCCTGTGGTTATGTTGAATTTCATTGTCCGAAATCTTGAATCACTTTCTGAAGTTTTCTTAGCATCTTCAGCGAGGCTTACCTTTTGTCCTTACCTCTAAAATGTCAATATAATACGTCTGCAGGCTGCTTTCTACAGATCGCCACTGCTCAGAAGGATGAAGGATGACATGTGCTGAGTCAAGAATGATGCTGATGGTATGAGGAAGCTACGAGAACTTCCCACTGAGCTTCCCACAAAGTGAGGGCCAAACCTCCCAGCTTTCCTCAGCCAGAGAATTACTTAAGTTTCCTTCCAGAATAAAAGTTCTAAAGGTCTATGACACCTCTTTCTTGCTCACCAGTGGAGGTGATGGGTGGGGGAGTGAATAAAATTCCCCAGTGTCACAGGGCACAAGGAAAAGATTTTCCTTCCATCACTGGTTTTGGATTTCCTTCATGTTTACAGATTACCTTAGCTGGCACGCCTTGAGGACAAGGGTCTCAAGGACAATCCAGAAGAGGATCTAGTTACCTTTCCATGAAAGAAAGCCCATGAGCCATTCCAGTAGAGCCAGACACGTGGAAGACCTGGCCACAGAAACTTCCACAGACAACAGGGAAAGGAGAGAGGGGGAGAGGAAGCTGGAAGCTACCTCGCCCTTCCATTGCAGGTGGCAGCTCTGGGCTCACTGGGGACTAGGGCAGGCCTGCGGAAGCAGCCTTGGTCACCGGTAATCATGAAGCTGGACAGTTCCAGAAGCTTGTGGGGGTGGCACATGAAGCTGCGTGAGGAAAGCCAGAGTGGGTGCTGTCTTGCTGCCAAATTGATCAAAACCTCAGACCAAACTTCCAGATGAGGCCGTCAGTCTCATCCGCCTCCCACAGCTTCTCCAAATCCCGTCAAATATACAGGTGGCTGAGGAGCCTTTGCTGGGGTGGGCTTGGGCTCTCTGGAACGCTTCAGTCTGCCCCTGACCCCACCACCTCACCCCCAAGGAAGACCAAAACCTCTTCTAATTCGACACCATATTAAACTGCCCGGTGCAAGCTATCACCTTCCCTAGTAAATTTACTGGGTCATTTTGGAGGTTTTTGTTTGTTAAACCACCTCCACACACGTATGCTTGCTCCACTGCAAGTGTAGAATTTCCAGTAAACCGCCTTGATTTTGGAGCCTGTTCGGGTCACTGTCTTCAAGCGGGAGGAAAGCCACTTTCATCATATTTTCTTGGCTTCTAAAGCTGGCCGAAGTCCGGAGGCTCCCAAGGTAATTCAAGGAGCCTAGAACGACCTGCCTGCAAAGAGGAGAGAAAGTTCTTTCAGTTTAGCACAATAAAAATCAGGCATCACATTGCCTGAACAATAATAATAATCATAATAATTAGGAGGGGTTAAAGACATTCTGATATTTTTCTAAATTCAAAGCTCTCGCTACTTTGGTTTCGGTCTTTCTCCTCTGGCTGGAGACCAGGAGCATCCCCCAGGGGGCTATGTCCCCTAGAGAAGCTGGCCTCTGCAGGCCCCGCTGGCCCAGGGGAGGAGATCGCGCGGGCTGCTCTTCGCGTCTGGCGAGGAGGCCCTCCCCGCATCCTCCCTCCACCGCAGGGCGGGGCTGGCAGGCCTCCTGGGTGTGGGTGCAGCAGCTCGTCGCGGCCACCCTCCTCCCCAGCTCGCGCTGCCCAGCTCCCCTCCGCCGGCCCCCACTTACCTCCCAGCCCCCATCGCGGAGCCCAGGGAATTTCCCCAGCATCATCCCCAGACTTGACTTCCCTGCCTGCGGGAAGGGGTGAGTGCAGATAAAAGGAGTGTGGAGGGCGAGAGGAAAAGCCACAGTGCTCCGGAGTCTCCAATCTCTGAGCCCTCCCTTTCCCGCCTCTGCAACCCTCCTCGCCGCGCTCGCTCGGCCGCTATGAAACTCCTGCCCAAAGGCGCTGCTGCCCGCGTGCCCGGCGCGTCCGGCTCGCTGTGCGCGCTGCTGGCCCTGCTGCTGCTGCTGGCGCCGCCGCGGCCCGTCGCCAGCGGTGAGAGCGCGGGGCGCGGGGACCCGCCCGGGAGGAGCGGCTGCGCCCCGGGCGCGGGGAAGAGCGCGGCCCCAGCAGCCGGGTAACGATGTCTGTCTTTCCTTCCCCAGCCGGCCCCGCCGCCGCGGTGGTGCGAGAGCTGCGCTGCATTTGCTTAACCACCACTCCCAGAGGCGTTCACCCCCGAAACATTGTCAATCTGCAGGTGATGGCCGCGGGGCCGCAGTGCTCCAAGGTGGAAGTGGTGTAAGTTCTCCCGCGCCGCCGCGTCTACCGCGACCTCCACAAGAGGGTGGTGCCCCGGCCGGCCTGGGTCTGCCGCCCCTGTGGCTCACGGATGCATCGCCTTTGTTTCTCTGCAGAGCCTCCCTGAAGGACGGGAACGAAGTCTGCCTGGACCCAGAAGCCCCTTTGATCAAGAAAATCATCAAGAAATATTTGAACAGGTACTTGTCACTTCGATCTTTGTGGTTTCTTAATCTCTTCCAGGGAGAGGGTAGACTTCACGAGGTCCTCATTCCCTCTGTAGGATTTGGGTACCGCATTCCAGACCATGCTTAGAATGAAAAGATTGTTAAGAAGCAAAGGGAAAAGTCTTTCTGGAATGCCCTGAGAAGACCTTGATCTCTAATCATACATGTAATGGCCTGAGCACGTACTCAGAGTTCCTTACCGAGACATGACTTTTTGTCTACTCTTTGTTTTTATTGATTCTTATTTTTGTTTTCACCTAACGTTTTATTTTTTATTTTATTTTATTTTTTTCACCTAACGTTTTAAACGCTGTGTTTTGAAAAAAGGGTGGTGAAGAGGATAGTGTTGAAGTTTGGTTAAACTGATAGAATTCTTTCCCCAACAGTGGAAACAAGAAAAACTGATTAAGAGAAAGAACCAGGCGCTGGAAAAATTACCCAGTCTTCAGCAGAGCAGTTTTCTAGGGGTCTCTGGAACCCGTGAAGACAAGAAGGAAGGACTTTCTCCAGCGGTCAGCTTTCTTCACGGTTTCCACATTTTGAAGAGGGTAGAGAAAACCCATGTTTGTTCCTGAACTTTTCAGCTCAGCTCATGAAGTATTTATCATTGCATTTCCTGTTATTTACCATTATTTTATCTGCTATGTTATTATAATATTTAGTAATTAACTATATTGTGAGCCAAGAATCGCTGGTTGTTAATCTTTAAAGTGTCTCGAAATGACTATTGTATTTCTAGAATATATTTCTCATAGTGTTACCGAAAAGGCTGTGGATTTAATATGTGAATGATGTTTTATTAAAATACTGCTGAGAGGCATACACCGTTATCCTCACTCTCAATATTTTAGTGTTGTTTTGGGGGAATATGTGAGAGAACATTCTTACTTTTGAACACAGGATGTTAAGTTGCGTTGCATTAGGAAGCTGGCAGTATCATACCATTATTTGTATAGAATGTATGTCCTTATTTAGAATTTCTAAGTGTTTAAGTTCTATAAGGACTAATATATTCTCTTCATATAATTTTAGACATTTAATGTCTTCTTAGTATGGCATAATGTCATGATGTACTCATTAAACTTTGATTTTATGAGCTATTTATTATTTTACTGGGAATACTATAATTCTGGTCACTAATTGTGTGTTTTGAATAGACAAAGAAACTAGGAAACAAGTAAATTCATGTCTTCTACTTTTTATAGAAAGGTACTCTTTTAGTCTTTTTAAAATAAAACAACCTTAACATTAATCTACTCTGAAAGTTTTGGAAACATATTTAACTATTTGAGTGTAAATCCATCATTTAGTCTTCCAAAAAATATATAGCATTGCTAAAATTTTTAGATGCCTATAGTGTATCTTTTAAAGGTTTTCACCATTTTGTTATAAGGAGATATGTATGTATCACATCTACTATATTAAAATGGTACTTTTTAACCATGTCTCATCAGTTTATAGTATTTTGTTCTTTGGAAAAAAAAAATAAAAGATTTCTAAACTTACGTGTTGTTTCTTCCTTCTTATATTGTTACAATAAATTTTATTTTTCTTTAATTATACATTATTTAAAAAGTTAACTCTGCTCCTCTCTGGCTAGCAGAGAGGACCCTCACTTCTCAAAGCCATTGCATTGGTTCAGCTTTTCTCCAAGCTCACTCCCCTTCCAGTTACTCCTTCAGGGCACCAGTGGCCTGTGGGGTCATTAGAAAACACAAGTAAGGTGTGAGACTTCCCTACCTTAAATCCTCACCTGGTTCCCTGTTTCCTAGACATGGGATGAATGTTGCTAGGCCTGACACATGAGGTTCTGTCTCATCACACTCCTGACTCCTACTTCAACTTCCCTGCTCCCTCACCTTCTCTGCAGTCAGGGATTTAGTTCCTTAACACAGAGCATGTTCTTCTCTGGGTCCTTGCATTTGCATTTGCTGGGGCCTCCCTCTACCTGGAAGGAGCTTCTCTTTCTTCTGCATGTAGGAGGAAGCTTATTCACCCTTTGGAACATCTCCTTCATGAAGCTTTCCTTGGCACCTCCAACAGAGCTTGCAGTTTCCATTTTGATGTTCCCATAGTATTATCTTGCAGGTATCAGAATTATAACAAATATATTGCATTGCTGTTATTGCTTTATAGATGTATTCACCCTATACTACTAAGGGCTCCCTGAGAGTATCAGCTATATTTCATCCATCTCTGCATCCCCAATGCATGGCACAGAATGACTTAAAGAATTAATAAGGTTGGCAGAGAGTGTTCTAGAGTCAATATAACCTGGCTCTTGGTAGGTGTTGACTACTAAACTGTCATTTCTTTACTCTCTTTTCTCCTTCTTGTCTACAGGTGATCTAACAAGGACTTTGACATATGCAATCCCCTCAATCTATAACACCTGCCCCTCACTTTCACCTGGCTAATTCCCATCCTTCCTTCCTTTGGGAATAGCTTACCTGTCATTTTCTGGACGCAGCCTGTCTGACCCTTCCTCCTACCAGATAAAGGCTCCTTTTATGCCTTCCCATAGCATTTTGTGCTTATCCTTCAGAACATTTTCTCACCAAGGTGAATGTAGAGTTATAGAGCTGATGTACACATGGCCATTTGTTTAATGTGTATCGATTCCAGCTTCACTGTAAGCTCCATGAGGGCAGGGACGATGTTTATCATATTCATCTCAGTTCCTAGGACGGTCTAGCACATATTAGATATGGAAGTAGATGAGTGATCTCGGCTAAACAAGTTCCACTTTCTTTCAAATATTAAAATGTCAATTTCATATAACTTTCCTAATTTCATTCTTAGGAAAAGCAAGGAAAGGAAAGGAAAAAGCTAATCCAGTTAACACACACATTCACTCTGTGATTGGATTAATATATCATATATGCTTACATTGGCATTATTTGTATATATTAGAATATGCTAATATATTGTTAGCATACCTATATCTGTCCTAGGTTCTTCTGTATATCTTGATCCCTCTCCTCATACGTAAAATATCAATTAGATTAATATGTTTTCTATTATTAT